TTTCTTACTATGCGGTTCGTCAGCACGTTTCTTCTCATATGTAACTCATTCCCCTCTTCATTTTCGCTTTATAGTAGTATAGAGAGAGAAGAGAGAGATGAGAGTCAGTTCAGAGTAGAAAGAGAGTTTACGAGAGAGCAGAGAGCAGAGAGATGCAGAGAGAGTATGCATGCTCAGAGAGAGACGAGAGAGAGAGATGAGAGTCAGTTAGAGAGAGTCATGGAGAGAGAGAGAACAGAGAGTACGAGAGATCGAGTAGCACGAGGCGGGGGGGGTTCAGGAGGGATGGAGAGAGAGAAAGAGAGAGAGAAAGACCAGAAACAAAACAGCAAACAAACAGGCACAACAGAAAGATACACAGAGACATAGTTATACAAAACAGACACAGGCAGATATAAACAGATCGATTAAACAGATAGATAGGAGATAGATAGATAGATAGATAGATAGAGATAAGTTGATAAGACATATATATATATGTATATATATATATATATATATATATATATATATATATATATATATATATATACTATGAGAGAGAGAGAGAGAGAGAGAGAGAGAGAGAGAGAGAGAGAGAGAGAGAGAGAGAGAGAGAGAGAGAGATAGAGAGAGAGAGAGAGAGAGAGAGAGAGAGAGAGAGAGAGAGAGAGAGAGAGAGAGAAGAGAGGAGAGAGAGAGAAGAGAGAGAGAGAGAGAGAGACAGACAGACAGACAGACAGACAGACAGACAGACAGACAGACAAACAGACAGACAGATCGATAGACGGGCAGACAGAAAGACAACCATATAATCTGATAGATAAACAGACAAACGGACACACAGACCAACAAAACAGATAGATAAACAAACAGACACATAAATAGATAGAGAGAAGGACTCACCGTGAATTTCTTGCAGTGATTAATAGTCTTCACAAGATCGTTTCTTAAAGTGTCATCAACAAGGGTCTCCTTCCTGACCTTTATCATCTCTTCATAATCAAGGTCAAAGATGTCATCCACCTAGACAGTTGATTGATTGATTGAGTGTGATACTTGTTATTTGTGATTTATAAAATTTATATTTTGTTTTGTTTTTTATTTGTTTATTTGTTCTATATTTTAATTTATATTTTTTATTTTGTTTTTATTTGTTTATTTGTGATCTATATTTTCATTTATATATTCTTATTTGTTTTTATTTGTTTATTTGTGATCTATATTTTCATTTATATATTTTTTGTGTTTGTTTATTAGTCTTTTTGTTTTGATGTTATTAATGTATTTATCTTGTGGTTACTTAAAAGATAAAAATCAAATCAAAGGGGAAGAATTTTATTATAATTTGATTATTTCTGTTTGATATATTTGATGAGCTTATCATAATTCGATCAGAATTGATAGATTATTATATATGTAATTGCTATAAATAGTCTGATTTCTGCTGTTTTGGTCATGATCTTGATAAATAACCAAGTAAATTCCCTCATTTTTTAAGCAATATTAATGCAAGTTACTTGTACTAAGATTAATACTTATGCAATATACTTATACATACCACTTTCATTTTCTTCAAGACACAGGTGAAATTGCTCACTTTGGCCTTCACTTTCTCAACCATTTTCTTCAAGAGAGGACCGTCATACATCGCCTCACGCTTCTAAAAAAAAAAAAAAACGAAAATTTAATAGCAATCGCCATATACTCTGAATGTGAAAATATGTTCAGATGTCTTCACTTCAAAGTCACTTTACGTTATGCAACTGGAGACTCTACGTACTGTTCTTTGGCTAGTAGTTCTGAAAGGGAAGCTGAAGGGGAATTTCTGGTTCTCGTCTTGTTCTTGGGGTGTGAAGAACACCTGCAAGAACACGGGACTGCCACTGAATGGTTCTTCACTCTGAAGAACAGTTCTTAATTGAGAAAAAAGTGATGGAGTTTGGTGTTTTCTTTTTTTTTTAAGATTTTTCGGCATCTTTCCAAGAGGTTTCATCTATGGTTTTTGATGCTTATATTCATATCAACAAACGCAGACAGACAGATATATAAACACACACACACACACACATACACACACACACACATACACACACACACACACACACACACACACACACACACACACACACACACACACACACACACACACACACACACACCACAACACACACACACACACACACACACACAACACACACCACACAACAACACACACACAACACAACACACAGACCACACAACCACCGCACACAACCCCCACCCACCACTATCAACCACCGCACACAAACCCACAAACACACAGACAACTCACAAACATAATACTCTGAAAAAAAAAAAAACGAAAAAAAAAAAAAAAAAAAAAAAAAAACACCAACCTCTTCGCTGGAACTCTCTCCAGATTCGTCCTCCTCAGGCAAGTTAATTTCTTCGTTATAACATTGTTTCGCCGCTTTGAACACTTCTTTTGTCCAATTATTATACCTTTCTTCACCAAAACAATTAGTCATCGCCTGAAATAAACATTACATTGCCATTACTTTAAAGGTAATTGGTATACTTATCTGTTTGTTTACTTGTTGATTCATTAGATTCATTCTTCATTATACTTATTTGTTTGTTTATTTCTTGTTTCACTATTGTGTGTCTAGATTCATGTGTTTATTTACACATTTATTTATTTATCTTCTTTTTTTTTTGTTTTCAATTTTCAGTGTCACTGCTCGATGTTTTTCAAGTCATTATTTCCACAGAATAATCGATACCATTATCAAAAGCTAATTCTCAGCTTTTAAAAAAAACCAAAGAGAAAGATAATAATAATTTAAAATACTGATACTAATACTACTATTGATAATAACAGTATGAGCATTTTTTTACATTGGGAGGGGAGGGGAAGGAAAATATGAATCACTGACGCATTTATCGCATAATGATGAGAGAGAGAGAGAGAGAGAGAGAGAGAGAGAGAGAGAGAGAGAGAGAGAGAGAGAGAGAGAGAGAGAGAGAGAGAGAGAGAGAGAGAGAGAGAGAGAGAGAGGAGAGAGAGAGCGAGAGAGAGCGACCGAGCGAGAGAGAGCGACCGAGCGAGAGCGAGAGCGGAGAGACAGACAGACAGACAGACAGACAGACAGACAGACAGACAGAGATAGATAGATAGATAGATAGATAGAGAGAGGAAGAGAATGAGAGAGCGAGAGAGGGGGGGGGGAGAAAACAAACATAGAAAAGTGAAAACAAAAAAGTTGATGCATACCTTCGTGTAAGCATATTTCTCGGCGAAGCTGTCATGGGCGAAGGAGCTGCACATGACAGCCAAGAAGACAAAAGCTCGTAACATCCTGCTGAGAGAGTCCTGTGATTATTATTATTTTATTTTTTCTTATTTCTTCTTCTTCTTCTTCTTCTTCTTCTTCTTTATTTATTGTTATTATTATTAATTTTATTATTGTTATTATTATTACAATTATATTATTATTATATCATTATATTATTATTAATATTATTATTATTATTATTATTATTATTATTATTATTATTATTATTATTATTATTATTATTATTATTATTTGTTTAAGACAAATATTTCAAAATTATTGTTATTGTGTAGATGTCAAAAGGCTTAATGATTTAGGTGATCTGATTAGTGTCTCTGTCTATCTGTCTGTATCTATTCATCTATTTAATGTCTATATCTATTCTTTTATATCTGTTCATGTCTGTAAATCTATATCTTTACATTTTTATAACCATATATATATTTCCTTCTATTTTGCTATATCAATCCATATCCATTTTCTCTATCTATTTGTCTATTTATTAATCTATTTTTTCTATATCTATCTATATCTATCAATCTATCTATCTATCCATCTATCTATGTATCTATATATCAATCTATCTATCTATCTATCTATCTATCTATCTATCTATCTATCTATTAATCTATCTACCTATTCTACACACATATTTCACAGTCTCTAAATTCCAGAAGGGATGCATTACTTACCTGCAGAGATGAGAGGCGTGTGATGCTCAGCTTGTTATAACTCTCTTATATATATGCAGGTCGTATACGATATTGCAAGTCATCGTTTGTCCTGCAACACCCCTCCCCCCCTCCTCCACCCCTCCTCCACCCACCCACAGTCCCACCTCCACCCCCCTGAGCTATGCACAATAGATCTTAAGATGATGATAATAAAAGAATTACATGTTTCTTTGGCATTAATTTTATTAAGATGATGCTAATAAACAAATTACAAGTTTCTTTGATATTAATTTTATTTTCTCTCACTTATCCTCACTTTATTTTTTATTTGTTTTCAGTGTCATTATCATTTTTTACGAATTGCATGTTTCTTTGACATTAATTTTATTTTCTCTCACTTATCTTCACTTTTTTTTATTTGTTTTCAGTGTCATTATCATTTACTTTTGTTAGGGCTTTGAGAAGGGTATCGTCACCTGTTTCTGTATCAATTTACATATGCACAGCTCATTAGCATAAGAGGTACTCTAAATTATGCAAATAGAATTTTACACTAGATGAATGGCTCAGTTTCAAACGAAAAATTAATTTAGAGTTTTTTTCAACTTTCAAAATAAGTTTCAGGTGTCACTTTCCGCTCTCAATTGGCTTGCTGACACTTGATACTGACACCATATTCCCTAGAGTGCCTCGGCAATATACAATATACAGCAGTCAAAGTATGTGTGGATGTGTGTTTCATTCTGCGTTACTTCACATCTACTTTTAACGTGAATATTGTGTGTGTTTTGTGTACACTCTGCACACACAAACATAAACACACACACACACACAACACCCCACACAATCATGTATATATATGTATATGTGTGATGTGGTGTGTGTGTGTGTGTGTGTGTGTGTGTATGTGTGTGTGTGTGTGTGTGTGTGTGTGTGTGTGTGTGTGTGGGCATGCATATCAGAAAATTATATTTATTCATAATTATGTATAAATGTGGATTGGGTAATATGTATTTTACATAAATAATAC